GATGGCTGCGCAAACCTGGGGGGGGGGGGAATAAAAAAAAATTCCTTGATTTCCCCCCCAAAAAACTTGGTGCGTCCTATGGGCCGGGGCGTCCTATAGGGCGAAAAATACGGTAATCTTCTGTTTTCCAGGGTCTGAGAAGGAATTTTGAGGGGAGATTCTTGGACCTCACTTGTTCACTTACTCTACACCAGGGGTAAGCAACCGAAGCTTCCTGCAGCCAATCAGAAGCCACGCTTGGGTTTTCGAACGTTTTGGAAGTTGAACGGACTTCCAGAACGGATTCCATTTGACTTCCAAGGTACGACTGTATATAAAATCAAAATAAAAACAATAACCCAATAACACCCCCCAAACAGAGCTATGTTTTTAAAGGGTATAAGATGTCAATCATGGGATGCGGGTGGCGCTGTGGTCTAAACCACAGAGCCTAGGGCTTGCCGATCAGAAGGTCAGTGGTTCAAATCCCCATGATGGGGTGAGCTCCCGTTGCTCGGTCCCTGCTCCTGCCAACCTAGCAGTTTGAAAGCACATCAAAGTGCAAGTAGATAAATAGGTACTGCTCTGGCAGGAACGTAAACGGCGTTTCAGTGCGCTGCTCTGGTTTGCCAGAAGCGGCTTAGTCATGCTGGCCACATGACCCGGAAAAACTGTCTGCGGACAAACGCCGGCTACCTCGGGCAGTAAAGTGAGATGAGCGCCACAACCCCAGAGTCGTTCACGACTGGACTTAACTGTCAGGGGTTCCTTTACCTTTTAGGATGTCAATCAGGTCAACCAAAGGCCTGGTTAAAAAGGAACATTTTTGCCTGGCTCCTAAAGGTGTATATTTAGTGACTACTTAATGTGGGGTTCATTGTGGGGTAGGGAAAGTATGCCATTTCTAATTGCCTTAGGGCAGATTTTTTTATTTAAAAAACCCTAACGTAATAACACACAATATTTATCATCTGACTCACAAAATGCAATATTCGAAGCATATCGTGGGTGACATTGTTTGACCAATACTGCCAAGTAACGAATACATGGATAGCATTTAATTTGGTTTCTTCTACCTTGAAGCTGTCACTAGGGCTTCCTGCTCTTGTCCTCAACAGTTAAACTGATTGACTGAAACCATGGCTGCATAAATGATATACATGAGCAGGTCAGAGAGAGACATACTGCAGGCTCAGCTGTTTAACCGAAAAATAGCCGACTTTTAAAAATCATAATGAATCACAAGTTTCTTTTTTTCTTTTTTTAGTACTATTTATTTCCTTTCAGGCCTCATGCAATGATATTAAAGCCCAGTGACATCAGTGATCAGAGCTCAGATTCAATGCCATGTCAGATGGCTATTACATATTTATGTCAATGGGGCAATCATCAGCATAATTTCAAATAATTTGATTTTACTGGGCTGTAAATCATCTTCAGATATGCTTAGGGCAAACCAAAATGCCTCGTTTGTTAAGTCAGTTTTGTGGAAGGAGTAAAGTGTGGATTGCATTGCTACTTCCCGGGCAAGAGGTAGGAATAATGTTCTTTATTTTATTTTAATCTCCATTTTGTACATCCCACCCCCCAGCCACATAAAACCAATATACTGAAGGGAACCCCCTGCTATTTTACAGAAAGCAGGAGACAGAGAAGTTATTGGAGGCATTCCACAAAATAGCATAAAGATGTGTTTTTGAAGCTTATTTTATTTAAATTAGCCTCACAACATTTCTGGTGTATCCAGTCAGTTAAATTAGGTTATTTTAGATAAAAGGATCTGGAAGAGAAATATATTGAAGAAAGCTCTTTACTACTTCTAAGTGTTTCCAGGAGCGGTACTCCTTCTCCCCAGACACCAACAAAAACAGAAAGACAGCATTACTGGGAAACTGTTCCCTAGAAAGCTGTTGAAATAATCATGTGAAAAAATATAGTAGCATCAGATGCCACCATTTTTGCAGCTACAATTATGGGATTATTTGGGCACCCACAAATGCACCATAATGTAGGGTGTGTGCATTGCGTAGGGTTGCCATATTCCAGTCCTCAAACCTGGACAGCAAACTAGCACATACAGCATTAATATGAGTGGGCAGTGGTAACGTAAGTAACTTTTATAAATAAAATAAATTAAATAACTATTGTGCAAATTGATTTCTCATTAAGCAAATCAAGTGGCATGTTGGGTTTGTTTAGTTAATTAAATTAAAACACTTATATTGCTTCAAGTCAAAATTTCCAGAGCGCTTTGCAATCACTAATAAAAAAACACACCACACAATAAAGCCATGCAAAATGCAGCCCCCGTGACTTTTCTATTCCAAATTGCAATGCTTTGTGACAAAGAAATGGGCTTCTGGGATTTTCATGCACAACTTTTCATGTAACGTCAAGCTGAACCCTCAAAAGCTAAAGAAAAACAAACAATTACACACTGTACAAAGTTTGAGGCTCATAAAATAACTTTCAACTCACATAAGTTGCACTATAATTTTTCATATGTTTTTCTTCTTGGAAGTTGCTCCTCACAGATATAGAAAGCATTTTTTCTCAATTTTGCAGCAGAGCATTTTATAACATCTTATCAGACCTTTAGCAGACATGATACTCTTTTAAAGTGTAAAACCACCACCCCCAAACTAAATTTATGGCTCGCTGTCAGAGCTGAGGGAAATGTTAAGGGCAGAAATGTACAGATATTAAACTTGGTCTTCTTGCACTTTGTTCTGCTGATTCGCATTTAATAAATTATGTTTCTCCTCCCCTTGAATGTTGCATTAAAGCCTGAGGAAATCTGAGTCGTTTATTCTATGGTACCACTAGAACATCTTTCAGATATTCAACTCGATTACCCATGACAACTCTGTTCCATAAGGAATCCTAAATGTTCTGACTCAGACATCAATTATAATTGTGCTGACATACTGACATTTCTAAAGCACTTACAAAGTTGTTTGTTAGCCCTTTCGACTCCATATTTGAGAGGCCTGAATAATTCAAGAAAACCTCTTTATCTACCAATGCATAAAGAGCCTTTATCAACCTGGTGGGTTCTCAGACTCCATTCTTACATTAAGCTAAACAAATACCCAAAGACACCATAACAGTCCAAATATCAAGAAAGGTTAAACAGGAAAAGCTTGGGATAAACTCAAGATTTATTTTTATTTTAAATGTAAGCATCTTTCTTCAATGAGATGCTTAACCACAGATTTTCACCATCACCAGCTTGGCAGTGGTCCCAGGACAACAGAGCTTTCTGCTTACCTTGAACTGTTTCCAATGCAGCCACCTCATATATATTTTCTATAGCCAATAATAAAATAATTCCCCAGTTGGAAGCATTCAGGGATTAAAGAGGTTCAACTCAGGGGAAGCCCTGCAATTATAGGCATCAAGATTAGGAGAACGTTTGAAGTCTGAATAGTTTTATGTAGCTGAGCTCTAAGAACACAATCCAACCCCTCTTTGCATTAGATGGGGTGAGGAGGTAGACCGGGCAAAGATGTTCCTTCTATCTGGTCTCTCTTTGCTTCCCACCAGCTACCTGTGGAATGACAATGGTTGTTAAACCACTTTCTTTCTCTTCACATGGGAAACTGGGAATTGTAGCTCAGGGAGGACGAACAGGGGCCTCAAAAGAACTCTCATCACCCTCAACTACAGTTTCCAAAATTATTTGGGGTAAGCCATGACTGGACATAGCGGCGTCCTGGTGCTTTAAATGGATAGTGTGGTCACAAGTCTTCCATTCTGTGCTCAACTAAAACCACCTTAAAGGGTAAAGGGACAATGAAGTCCAGTCGCAAACAACTCTGGGGTTGCGGTGCTCATCTCACTTTAAAGGCCGAGGGAGCCGGCGTTTGTCCTCTTCCGCAGACAGTTTTTCCGGGTCATGTGGCCAGCATGACTAAGCTGCTTCTGGTGAAATCAGAGCAGCACACAGAAACGCCGTTTACCTTCCCGCCAGAGCGGTACCTATTTATCTACTTGCACTGTGTGCTTTCGAACTGCTAGGTTTGCAGGAGCAGGGACCGAACAATAGGAGCTCACCCCATCGCGGGGATCCGAACCGCCGATCTTTCAATCAGCAAGCCCAAGCAGCACAGTGGTTTAACCCACAGTGCCACCCGCGTCTCTTAAAACCACCTTAGATTACCCTAAAATAAGAGCACAAAACAACTAAATGCAAAGCAGGCCTAAAATAGAAAATAACAATAGCTGATCGCAGTCAAGGATGGTTATTGTCAACCTCCGATAGCGCCCTGCTGGAAAGAACACGCACAGCTTCTGCAAAAGTTGGATTGCCTTTTTGCAAGTTTTCTGCAGGTATCAAACTCAGCTTCTGGGAAGCTGTAGAGCATATCAGATATTCATAACAGCAGGGGAGTTTTCCATAAGGCTATTCCCATTAGTGTTACCTTTTTTCCTGCAGAGTAGCTGAAAAGGAGAAGGAAAAAAGGGGGAAATTGCAACTTTATAAATGTCTCTGGGGATTTTGACCTGAGGTAACCTGCAAACTACGCTCGGTCCAAATCATAATGCATTTACTATTTCAAGCTGCCACAGTAAAGAATAATGTTTCTCCACAGGATATGAGAATTAGCCTATTCAGGAGATTGAAGCTTTATATTTTAAAATGACTGTGGACTGTAACTACACATTAGTTACTCCCGAAAAGAATTTATTCTAAGCTTTTGAAAATAATTTTCTCTGTTACAAAAGCACCTTCTTTTTGGCACTAACACAACACAAATCCTACGCACATCTACTCTGAAGTAAGTCTCACTGGGATAAGTGAAGCTAACTACCAGGCGGCTGTGAACAGAGTAGTGGTCTAAGCATCCGCTCACCCTTCTTGGTGTGGTGGCATTGCAGGACAGCAGAGGCTCCACTCATCAAAGCTTTATGATATGGTGGGAATGTATGATGTGGCTGGAAGAAAGGAACTCCACATTAAATTTCCAAAACTGCTTGCCTTTCAATGGTGCTTAGACCACCACATACTCCACAGTAAAGACAGGCTGTCCATGTTAAGTATAATTGATTTAATTCACACAGAAATGAAAAATGTGTGTGTATTAATGAAGGCTTATAATGTATAACACTGGGGGTTTTCCACAGTAGATTTTCTAAGGAACTCTGAACTACTTAATGGGTTAGCGATTAACTGACTGTTGTTCTCTGGTAACTAAAATGTGAGTGTTGTAGCCGTAGATCATGTGATGAAGGTATTGAGTTGCAAATTTCCATTTTGAAGGGAGTTGCCTTTAGTCTTTGTCTCACCAAGCTTCATGGAGACAGGATGTAAAAGAAGCTCTCCTGAAGGGAGAGTAAACAGCCTGGAAGCTGGAGTGCAGGCTGTGGAGAGAGAGAGAGAGAGAGAGAGAGAGAGAGAGAGAGAGAGAAACCTCTGTTTCTAGGTCTGTTTAGATTAATTCATATTTTCTAAGATGCTGAGCCTGTGCTGGACAGCACAAGATATAGTATGGATATTTTTAGTTGTATCTTTGATGCTTATGTTTTGTTTTGAAGAGTTCTGTCAGTAAAAGTTTGAATCATGTTTTTATGGACCTGGACAATGATTCCTTTCCAAAAAGAGTCAGTTCTTATGCTTCCAATTGTTTCAAAGAGCAGAATATTAATATCTGCAACCGGATTGACAATGACACTAAGGAAGATTCAGCTTCAGGGCACCTAATCCCAAAGGGGCCCTAGAAGCAATTTTAGTCCACATTTCTTCAAAAATTTGAGCGGTAGACCCCATTTGTGTGGTTTCACTCAAGTTTTGGGGTGCATATTTCTACAATCACAAAGTTTGATAGTCAGCAGCACAAATGTTGTAAAGGTGTGGTGATCTGTCGTGCAATAATCCCATAGAAGAAGATAGCAGTAGTTACTGAGACTTCATTGCTGTTATGAAGGGCTAACATGACAGTCTAAACTGCAGAACCCCCAAAATGTAGGCCAGTCACTGCTGTCCACCTGCTTGTTTCTCCATTTACCATGCAAAAGTGGCATTGCGTGTCAAGGTCCCCAAGCCACCCCTCAAAATAATTCACAATTCACACATAATTTTTGTTTAAGGTTTTTGGCATAATTTTGGCCACAACTTTATTAAAATACATAATCTGTGAGTGGTTGCTTAGGCATTGGTTAAGACTATCTGTCCCCCTGCCTGGGACAGAACTGACTTCCGAACTCCCTCGGAAGCCAGTGAAGGGAAAACAATATTGGGGAGCAATGGAGCTGAGTCACAGTCCCTCACCGCTCACCCAACCTGCTTCCCAGAGCTTGCCGGCCCTGGTCCCATTTCAGGGATTGGACAAAATCGTGGCAAGCCCCTGGATTCCTTTAATAGAATTCCCTTCCACACCACCTATCCTTACCCCTCCTCCAACCAATTTTTTATAACCAATGCCTAACCGCAACCTTACAAGTTGTGAAGAATTGCTAAGTAGTAGGCAAAAACCAAATGGCACCAGCCAATCAGCCAAATGGACAAAATTCCTACTAGGCCCCTGCCCCAAGGTAGTCGACCCCATGACAGGCATAGCAAGGTCAACCGGAACTCAGGGTGGGCAGGAGGGTGATCCAATGCACTCAGCGAAAGAGAAAGCAAAAGATGTGCCCCAATATTTAAAGCCTTTGGTCCCACCCACCACATTGCAACATGCAATTTGCCCCAGCAACCCGGCCATCCAATCGTTGCCCCAGGCCAGCTCACTTTTACCTGCCTGGCAACAGAGGGTTGGCTTGGCAGACCCCACCGCAAAACGTGCTCTCATTTCAGGGAGAACATGCTTTATCATTCTTGCCTTGCCCCAAAAGACATGCAATTACTTGCTGGAGCTACTGCTACTGCTACTGCTGTCAAGTGCAGTTGAGGTTGAAAGAACTGTATCTTTCTTTGCAACCAAATGCTCAGTCCATTCTGAATTTTATAGTTTAAATACGCATCAAGTCACATCAAGCGTACCTTCAGCAACCTAAACTAAACCTTAAAACTAAAAAAAAAAAAGCAATCAAGCTAAATGCACGCATTCACAAACCTTCTGAAATTAAGTTTATTGACCTCAGTGTTGCTGTTCTTATCAGAGGAAGTGATGTGATCATGAACTGTTTTAAGAATTTGTGTATGTGTGAAACGCCATCTTCTCTCGCTCTCTTTCTTTTGCATTCCATGGAATAGCTATAGCAAAATACTCTATTTCACCATTGAAATAAAATAGCATACCTTCCTTGCCTTTTGGATTCTCTTATAGAACTTTGCTAGAGGCAATCTGAATGGAGATTAAAGAGGAGACTGCTTTAGAATGTTATCCTGCTTCAGGTGAAGCTTGCAACGGTAGCTTTATTCATACGAAACCTTTGGATTAGAGTCTTTCAAATATATATTGAAAGAAAAATTTATGTGCAAGGAGGCATGAGAGAGGGTGGGAAAAGAAAGATGAAAAATCTTATAATAAAAGAAGAAAGAGAGCAAAGGTACAAGAACTATTTTGATTTAATTTCTTAGTTTTTCTTTTTGTCCCCATGAGCTGTGTTAAACGTATTTGTTGATTTCCAAAGGTTTAGCAGTGACTGTATAATTCATGCATGTTAATGATTACTAAGATCCTGTCATTCCATTTAGCAAAGATACTTTTATCTCTTCTGTACTGAGCTTAGTGCTAAAAATCAGCATGTCTGCCTTACTAGACAGATCACTTTTTAATCAGAAATTGAGCCTATTTTAAAAACCCATAATAGGAACAGAGGATGACAGATAGAGATGGATTAGTAGCCAGATTCAATGATGGCACATCTCTTGACGACACTTCAGCTGCAGATGATGACAGCAATTGCGTAGACATTTACTCAACAGCAATTTTACACCGAAATTAGGGAAGGAGAAGAATGAAGAAATGGGGAATGGTTAGAAACACAGTTTCCCTTCACCCACCCTGGTTTGGAAACGATGAATGTATTGCAGCACATGACAAGAACATTCCAAGGCTATAGGATGGGGGGAACAAGGAAGAAGGCAGCCCTGTTTAGGGAAGCTTTTAATATTTGATGAATTATTATATTTTAATATTTTGCTGGAGGCCACTCAGAGTGGCTGGGGAAACCCAGCCAGATGGGTGGAGTATAAATAAATAATATTTTTTTAAATTACCATTATTATTATTATTATTATTATTATTATTATTATTATTATTTCGGGGACTCTCCTTATGATCTTCTAAATGGCCAGCAACATTTGGGGTCCCTTCTTTCAGTTTTTCCAGTCCCAGCTGGTCAAGGCAGCCCTCTTTAGGGAAGCTTTTAATGTTTAACAGACTACTGTATTTTCATACTTTGTTGGTAGCTGCCCAGAGTGGCTGGGGAAACCCAGCCAGATGGGTGGCAGCGGTGGGGAAAAAAAATAAATTATTATTATGATTATTATTATTATTATTAGGCACTGCTTCTGAGAAGAAGGATAAAAATATTTAATAATAATAATGTTTATTAAATTTATATACTGTCCTATACCTGAAGGTCTCACGGCGGTTCACAGAAAAGCTCAACATAAAAACTACAATATATATAATCAAAATAAAAACAACAACCCAATAATACCCCCCACAACCCAATAATACCGCCCATTAATAATAATAATAATAATAATATCGTATAAGACTAGGTTTTTTTCCTTAAAAATAATGTCAAAAATTAGGGGGCATCTTATACACAGGGCCGTCTCCCCCCATTTTCTTAAATTTGAGTCCAAAAAATTAGGGGGCATCTTATACATGGGAGCGTCTTATAGACGGAAAAATATGTTATTATTTTCACGGCAGAGCAGACCTTATCATCCCATCGATACTGGAAAGATAGAAGGGAGCCTTGATGTTTGCCAAATGATTTGGGCTAATATATGGAAGGCAAAGTATGAATGAATGGGTACTAATGACTTGTAGAAAGAAGCCGCAATAAGATGACTCTCATTAGATCTGTAAGACCGCAAAGCAATTTGAGGTAGCAGAAGAAGAAAAGTGCTCCGAGATAAAGGTGCTCCGCGAAATGGCCATGTTCTTGATAATGGATGATTTTAATTACTCTTATTGATTGGAGAGCTGCCTAACTATAGAGGAAACACAATGAAGAGTGAGCAAAGTGAAGCCTTTCTGTGTGTTTTATTAAACAGCCAGTGTGGTGGAGCAGCTGTTTTGTATTCTGTTCTTCTTCAGCCTGGGAAAAAAGCCAAGGATGATGAAGAACTTGAAGGTACTTGAAGAATCTGGAAATGACCTTCATCTTAGCAGGGTCCACAGAGGTGAAAGGTGAAGAGGGGTTAGTCCACTTAACAGGATGACATAAACTGGAAATAAATATAATAACCAGGGGGAAACATTAAGCAAAACTATGAATTTCGTTTCATTTTTTTTCAAAAGCAGAGCTAAATTAGTCTGCATTTAAGTAAGGATCCCTGATTGTTTCCCCACATTACTAATGAAAGCAGGTGATTAGAGAATGATATGAAAGCCTCGTGACTCTGATAGATGCACTCAAAATCAAAACACACAATTCAGGGCATCCAGTTAAGTCATCTGCCCCTATTTGTGAAATAAAAGGGATTATTCCCTAACACGTACAGCCGTCATGAGGTACTGCTACCTTCATCTATTTTTACACTCAGATTTGTATTAAGGAATTAATCATCTTGCTTGTAAGCCAGTCACATACTTTAAAACATTTCACAGGGACACTTGCACGCATGGTTGCAGTTGTTTTTGCATAATTCAGCAGCCAGTGAGATTTTCCAGCAACCGGTCTGGAGGGATGGAAGGATCCTGCTTTAGGTGATACATTCTGGTCCTTAACCCCCCCCCCCCCAAAAAAAATATCCATGTTAACCTCCGTCCTACCGGTAGGCAAATTTGTCGGAAGGCAATTTTTTTCTGCTGCATCCTGTGTTCCAAATGCTTCATTGCGCTTGGAGGCTAATCTCCCCACTGTTGAATGGCAGATTTAGTGTGGGACATTGAATTATCGCCTTCATCTAAATTTAAACCCCACTGGTCTACTACCCTTAGTATCGCAAGATTGTCATGAGAACGCTTGGACCAAAATTGTAAACCAAAAGCTTTACTTTTCTGGTTTATCACCACAACAGTTATTAACACTGTTATAATTAGACAGTGCCCATATGATATTGAGCGACAGAATAATTTGGCCACGATAAGGAAATTTTGTCCATGGTATGATGATTTCCCACCCAGTCAGTTTGACACTTTGGCTCCCTGTTGGCAAAAATTAACAATTCCAAAATACAGACGCGCTTTCACTTTCGCAAGATTGAATATACTGCCTTCACCTGTACTTGAGGGTCGATTTCAAAAAATTCCACTGGAAAAAAGGTTATGTCCATGTGGAGATGGCAGTATGGGGAGTCAGTGGCTCATGTGCTTCTGGCTGCACTCTTTATAAGGATTTGAGGAGTGAGGTTATTACCCCTCTACTATTGTCCATGCTGGGTCGCTCAGCCATTGCTACTGTGTCCTTTCTTTTAGCAGATCTCTCTCTTTCTCTCTCTCTCTCTGGACCCACACCAGCTCTTTCTCTCGAGGGGCCAGCGTACAGGGCTTCTCTTTCTGGCCCAGCCTCTCTGAGTACACCTCCGCCTGCCTAGTGCCCACTTGCTTCTCCTTCAGAGAGAGAGAGAGAGAGAGAGAGAGAGAGAGAGAGATCTACAAGAAACAATCACATGATCTACAAGTCGATCCCGATCGACAATGCTGGTCTAAACCACAGAGCCTCCTGGGCTTGCCAATCAGAAGGCCGGCAGTTCGAATCCGCACAAACGGCATTTCTATGCGTCTGGTTTCCGTCAAAGTGTCCCATTGTGCCAGAAGCTACTGTTAGGTCCATCATGAGACATCAGCCAGCTTCCAACCACTGATACCAGCAGCCTTCAAGCAAGCAAACTTGCCTTATTATCTCTCCCTAGCATCCCACTGCCAGAGGATTGCCTTCTTCCATTCACCACTTTGCCTCCTCCAAGTGGAAGAAACCTGGGCAGTGCTGAATGTCACATCCATTGCCAGGTGTGTCCTGCTGGAAATAGAAAAGGGCTTTCCCCTTGGCCTGCCTTTATATCCACTGCCAAGTGCTTTTGTGACATCACAAGAACCCCACAGCCAATGGCAACAGCTGGTGAGACATCATCTTCATCGCTTTGAGTCTCACAATGGTGGTTGGACCTATCAGTGATTGTGTGCTTGTTTGTTCATGCCCCAAAGTGCAAGTAGATAAATAGATACCACTGTGGAGTAGGGATAATATTTATCTAGGGATGTGGGTGGCGCTGTGGTCTAAACCACTGAGCCTCTTGGGCTTGCCAATCAGAAGGTCAGCAGTTCGAATCCCCTCGATGGAATGAGCTCCCATTGCTCTGTCCCAGCTCCTGCTAACCTAGCAGTTTGAAAGCACACCAGTGCAAGCAGATAAAAAGGTACCGCCGCAGCGGAAAGGTAAATGGTGTTTCCGTACTCTCTGGTTTCCATCATGATGTTCCATTGTGCCAGAAGCGGTTTAGTCATCCTGGCCACATGACCCGGAAAGATGTCTGCGGACAAATGCCGGCTCCCTCAACCTGAAAGCGAGATGAGCGCCACTGGACTTAACCTTCCAGGGGTCCTTTACCTTTACCTTTTATCGTCCAAGCATAAACATTATGTGATAGACATGACCTTGCAATGCCAGCCAGCATGATCTTAAAGCAGTTTTCATCTGCCACAAAGTACTTATTTTCTCTTCTGAAAAAGAAATTTATCCCCTACTACTGATAAGTTAATCTACACTTTTAATTTGTAGAGTCCTTCACATTTTTATTAGGCTGTCCTTCGTGTATTGGTATTATGGGTTAAATCACTGGGTCAGCATTGTGGATACAACTCATTTAGTCCAGTGTGGCAAACAAAGAGATAAAAAGTGGAACCTGCAACCATGTGTTGCATTTTATATCTACCCCCAAACAGGGAATTTCCTATTCAGGGTCCCATCTACTGTAATTATACCCTTCTCCAAGATACTATAAGTGGTTAAGGCTGGGAAACACCAGTCTCAGACAGTAATATTTCTTTAAAAAAATGTTTAGGGGTACTCTCATTTTGACTCAAGAAAACCACCATTTTATAGTTCAAATTGGGAAAAATGAATACAGTACAGTGTTACATACGCTTCAGGTTACATACGCTTCAGGTTACAGACTCTTCTAACCCAGAAATAATGCTTCAGGTTAAGAACTTTGCTTCAGGATGAGAACAGAAATTGTGCTCCGGTGGCACAGAGGCAGCAGGAGGCCCCGTTAGCTAAAGTGGTGCTTCAGGTTAAGAACAGTTTCAGGTTAGAACGGACCTCTGGAATGAATTAAGTACTTAACACGAGGTACCGCTGTAATTGGCCAAAAGCACAAAGACTCACAATTTTTTTAGGGGTATGTGTACCCCTGTGTCCCCCCAGAAAAAAGCACTGGTCCCAGATATCTCATGCAGCCCAGCAGAATACTTTATCCAGTCCCCAAGACTCTCAGAAGTGATATTGCCTTCTGAAAGTGCGTAACCTCTGGCCAGGCCTGCTCCCTATTCCACCCAGCTGTAATGTATCGCAGAGATGTGATAAAGCCACCTTCCTAAATTTAAAGACAACTTCCAGGCAGTGTGGCAGAGTGGAGCTGGCAGAGGCACTCTCTTGGCCACATCGTGCAAAATGGCTCACTCGGAGGAAGAACCCCCTTGGCCCCTCCCCAGAGTGAGGTAGGAAGGAGGAGAACTCACCAGCAGCAAATGGCCAAATTGAAAGTGCTGATTTTGACCCATAAAGCCTTAAACGGCTCAGGACCTCAATACCTCAAGGACCGCCTCTTCCCATATAAACCTACCTGGACCCTGAGATCGTCTTCTGAGGCCCTTCTTCGTGTGCCCCCTCCTCAAGAGGTCCGGAGGGTAGCAACACAAGAACGGGGTCTTCTCTGCAGTGACTCCCCATCTGTGGAATGCTCTCTCCAGGGAAGTTTGCCTGGCACTTTCACTATACACCTTTAGGCACCAGGCAAAAATGTTCCTTTTTAACCAGGTCTTTGGTTGATCTTATTGACATCCAACACCCTTTTCGAATGTGGCTTTGGGGGGGGTGCTATTGGGTTGATTTTATTTTTATTATGTATTTTGTGGTTTTATATCTTGATTTTATTCTGTGAGCCACCATAAGGCTCCCAGGTATAGGGCAGTATATAAATTCAATTAACAACAACAACGCAACAACAGCAACAACAATGTAAACAGGGAAACAGTGAGAAGGATGACTAGACAGGAGGGAAGGAGAAATGAAGTGACAGAAAGAGAGGAGGAGAAAAGGAGGGCAGTAGTATCTCCTGTGCAATGACAAACCTAGACAGCATCTTAAAAAGCAGAGACATCACGTTGCCGAAAAAGGTCCGTATAGTTAAAGCTATGGTTTTCCCAGTAGTGATGTATGGAAGTGAGAGCTGGACCATAAAGAAGGCTGATCGCTGAAGAATTGATGCTTTTGAATTATGGTGCTGGAGGAGACTCTTGAGAGTCCCATGGACTGCAAGATCATCAAACCTATCCATTCTGAAGGCAAATAGCCCTGAGTGCTCACTGGAAGGACAGATCCTGAAGCTGAGACTCCAATACTTTGGCCACCTCATGAAAAGAGAAGACTCCCTGGAAAAGACCCTGATGTTGGGAAAGATGGAGGGCACAAGGAGAAGGGGATGGCAGAGGATGAGATGGTTGGACAGTGTTCTCGAAGCTACCAGCATGAGTTTGAGCAAACTGTGGGAGGCAGTGGAGGACAGTAGTGCCTTGCATGCTCTGGTCCATGGAGTCACCAAGAGTCGGAGACAACTAAACGACTAAACAACAACAACATTCTGACTAAACCTCAGAAAGAACTTTCTGTTTGACAGTGGAACAGTTTCTCTCGGGAGGTTAGACTCTCTTTCCTTGGAGTTTTTCTAACAGAGGTTGGATGGCCGCTTGCCATGCATGCTTTAGCTGAGATCCCTGCATTACAGGGGGGTTGGACTAGAAGATCCTTCTGACTCTATGATTCTTTGATTCAGCCAGTCATTTATTCCCATTGAAACTGACTTTAAGATCCCAGTAAGTGCCAAGGGAAGGGATGCTCCGAAGAGCTATTTCCATTGGACTTAATGGCACCTACGTCTGAAGCTGTGAATAGATATCCATAGGATTACACTGTTAATAATAATAATAATAATAATAATAATAATAATAATAATATATTATTATTATTTATACCCTGCTCATCTGGCTGGGTTCCCCCAGCCACTCTGGGCTGCTTCCAACAGAATATTAAAATACCATAATCTATTAAACATTAAAAACTTCCCTAAACAGGGCTGCTTTCAGATGTCTTCTAAAAGTCTGGTAGTTGTTTTTCTCTTTGACATCTGGTGGGAGGACGTTTCACAGGGCAGACGCTGCTACTGAGAAGGCCTTCTGCCTGGTTCCCTGTAACTTGGCTTCTCGCAGAGAAGGAACCGCCAGAAGGCACTCAGCGCTGGACCTCAGTGTCTGGGCAGAACGATGGGGGTGGAGATGTTTCTTCAGGTATACTGTCAAGCACTCAGCACCCCATCACCCTGTTTTAGGCTTCTGCATTCTGACTAGTTCCAGGCTAGCCAGACCCTCTATTCACCTCTCCTCCCATTGTTTCCACATTATACCTACTGCCCTCACTGGTTATATCAAGCAGGATCAAGGCTAGGCAACCTAAGGCCCGTGGGCCGGGTGCAGCCCAATCGACTTCTCAATCCAGCCTGCGGATGGTCTGGGAATCAGCGTGTTTTTACATATTAATAATAAATAAATAAATAAATAAATACCATATTTTTCGCACTATAGGACGCACTTTTTCCCCTTCAAAAATGAAGGGGAAATGTGTGTGCGTCCTATGGTGCGAATGCAGGCTTTCACTGAAGCCTGGAGAGCGAGAGGGGTCGGTGCGCACCGACCCTCGCGCTCTCCAGGCTTCAGGAGAGCCCCAGCGCCAGCCCCACAAGGTCGGGGGACAGAGGGAGGCGGAACGCCGCCATCCCGCTGTCTCCCGAAGTGGTTTGGAGGCTGACGGCGGGGAGACCCCGCCGCCGGCCCCGCAAGCTCCGGGGACAGCTGGGAGACGCAGCGCGTCTTCCTGCTGTCCCCGGACCTGATCTGAAGGCGGGCGGCGGGGAGAAGAGCGCTTCTCCCCGCTGCCTGCCCCCAAGCTCCGGGGACAGCAGGGAGACGCAGGGCGTCTACCAGCTGTCCCCGGACTTGATATCAAGGCGGGCGGCGGGGAGAGCAGCGCTCTCCCCGCTGCCTGCCCCAAGCTCCGGGGACAGCAGGGAGACGCAGCGCGTCTTCCCGCTGTCCCCGGACCTGATGTGAAGGCGGGCGGCGGGGAGAAGAGCGCTTCTCCCGCTGCCTGCCCCCAAGCTCCGGGGACAGCAGGGAGACGCAGCGCGTCTTCCCGCTGTCCCCGGACTTGATATCAAGGCAGGCGGCGGGAGAAGAGCGCTTCTCCCGCTGCCTGCCCCCAGCTCCGGGGACAGCAGGGAGACGCAGCGCGTCTTCCCGCTGTCCCCGGACCTGATGTGAGGCGGGCGGCGGGGAGAAGAGCGCTTCTCCCCGCTGCCTGCCCCCAGCTCCGGGGACAGCAGGGAGACGCAGCGCGTCTTCCCGCTGTCCCCGGACTTGATATCAAGGCGGGCGGCGGGAGAAGAGCGCTCTCCCCGCTGCCTGCCCCAAGCTCCGGGGACAGCAGGGAGACACAGCGCGTCTTCCCGCTGTCCCCGGACCTGATGTGAAGGCGGGCGGCGGGAGAAGAGCGCTTCTCCCGCTGCCTGCCCCAAGCTCCGGGGACAGCAGGGAGACGCAGCGCGTCTTCCCGCTGTCCCCGGACTTGATATCAAGGCGGGCGGCGGGGAGAAGAGCGCTTCTCCCCGCTGCCTGCCCCCAAGCTCCGGGGACAGCAGGGAGACGCAGCGCGTCTTCCCGCTGTCCCCGGACCTGATGTGAAGGCGGGCGGCGGGGAGAAGAGCGCTTCCCCGCTGCCTGCCCCAAGCTCCGGGGACAGCTGGGAGACGCAGCGCGTCTCCCGCTGTCCGCGGACCTGATCTCAAGGCGGGCGGCAGGGAGAAGAGCGCTTCTCCCCGCTGCCTGCCCCCAAGCTCCGGGGACAGCTGGGAGACGCAGCGCGTCTTCCCGCTGTCCCCGGACCTGATCTGAAGGCGGACTGCGGGGAGAAGAGCGCTTCTCCCCGCTGCCGGCCCCACAAGCGCCTGGGGGGGAAATAATTTTTTTTCCTTTATTTCCCCCCAAAAAAACTTGATGCGTCCTATGGACCGGTGCGTCCTATCGTGCGAAAAATACGGTAATTTTATTTATACCCCACCCTCCCCGGCCAGAGCCGGGCTTAGGCCAGCTAACACCAGTAAAATTACAATAAAAACATAAGAGGGGGGGGACAATTTAAAATACAGGTTAAAATGAAATTTAAAATGAAGCCTCATTTTAAAAGTAGCCCATGGATCAAAACCGTAAGGGGAGGGAAAACCTAAGAGTCAGACTGAGTCCAAACCAAAGGCCAGGTGGAACAGCTCTGTCTTGCAGGCCCTGCGGAAAGATGTCAAGTCCCGCAGGGCCCTAGTCTCTTGTGTACTGTGTCCTTTTATTTAAAATGTATCTCTGGGTTATTTGTGGGGCATAGGAATATTTCCCCACCCCCCCATGGACCGGCCCATGGCTGAAAAAGGTTGCTGACCCCTGAGCTAGATGCTTAACATAGGAAAGGACAAAACTCCTACATCCAAATACAAGTCCAAATATATAAAAGCAACTTTTTTCTGGCTGGCCAAAGTTGCCGGTAACTTTAACAGTGGGGGGGAGGGGGACACACTAGAATAAGTTATTATTTGCATGATGGAAATCATGGCCAGGAGAAACATAACCCTTAATGATGAGCCTTCATTTACACTATAAAAGGGAAAATATTTTTGTTCTAAGAGTTTTTAAGGCAACTTCAAAGGCAGGAAACTGCCTTTAATCCTGCCTGAAAACTCTTGAAAAGAAAGGGCCTGTGCTCTGCCACAGCCCATCCAGGATCTTTAAGATATTCAGAGAAAAGCCTAGTCCTGTCCATGAATAATTTTTAGAAGAACTAAAGAAATCTTTCAAAAAAATACCGGGCCTTTTTCATAGAAAGGACAGCACTTGAACAATGTTACAACTAAAATGTGTAGTGTACACTGGGATAGAGGTAGATAATATAGATTTTTAAAATATTAAGCAGTATATAAACCTTCCAACATTTCTCCAATGAAAACAGGGATGTCCTACCACATCATCATTATAATAATCATCATTTTATTGTTTACACCCCACCCATCTGACTGGATTGCCCTAGCCACTCTGGGTGGCTTCCAACACATATAAAAACATAATAAAACATGAATAATAATAATAATAATAATAATAATACTTTGTTTGTATCCCGCCCTCCTCGGCCAAGGCCGGGCTCAGAGCGCTAACATCATAAAAACAACACAAAACATAAGATTTAAAATAATCAACCTACATCACAAAAGTAACATTCAACAATCATTAGGACAGTATAAAATAAATAATAATAATAATAATATCAACATATAAAAGTTAAACAGAAATCGACTCAACAGTTACAATCAATAATTTCTAAACTATAATCAATAAAACAGTGGCAAGCCACAGTACATAAAACAATACAATGCAAATTGAGAAGAAGAGACTAGAAGGTGGAACAAAGCAGGTAGAATTTCCACCCACATTCCCCACCTGGGGAACTTCATTGTAAAATTCAGAGAAGTGGGCATGTTGAAGGATGACTGCATGTTTTTGTTTGCATGTTGTTTTGAAAAGTGCAATAATAATAATAAATAATACATTTTTATTTATATCACGCCCTTCTAAGTTTAAAAACAAAGCTCAGGGCAGCTAACAGCAAATATAAAACATTGATTAAAATGCAACTTAAAAACAGCACAAAACAGCATAAAATACAACATCAGTATCAATAAAATTCAAAAAATCAGGGGTTATTTTGGGATACCCTAGTCAGTAGACATCAAATGAACACCAGGGCTAACTTCAGGTGTTTTCTAAAGGATGTATACCGTATTTTTCGCTCTATAAGACGCACCAGACCACAAGACGCACCTAGTTTTTGGAGGAGGGAAACAAGAAAAAAAATATTCTGAATGTCAGAAGCCAGAACAGCAAGAGGGATTGCTGTGCAGTGAAAGCAGCAATCCCTCTTGCTGTTCTGGCTTCTGGGATAGCTGTGCAGCCTGCATTCGCTCCATAAGACACACACATATTTCCCCTTACTTTTTAGTAGGGAAAAAGTGAGTCTTATAGAGCAAAATATACGGTAGTTACTTATCTCTTTACCAATTTCAATGGGGGGGGATATTTAAACAAAAAGCCCTTAGAGAAACCCCAAACATTGCTCTATTACTAATCCCCTCTATTTGATTTATAACTGTTTACACCATCTCTTTCATTTCTGTAGTAGAACTTCCTATTATTTTTATGAAATCAAGAAGTTAAACAAAATATGTGGGTTGCTATCATTCAAGCAGAAACATGCGAAAGAAGAATCTACTTGGAAGCTTGTCTTTACGGGCAATTTCAAGGTTAAAAGCAAAATGATGAAAGATTCATAATTTGGTCACCTCACAGTACTCCTATTTTTTCTCAAGCTTGTTCATATAATCACCGCAAACTTCCAAAACAGGGAACTTTGCGCCTTGCTAAATCACTCACATTTATTTTCAAGTATGCTCTCAACATGTTTGTTCTACACTCGAATGCTTCCTGATTGCAGGCACAGATATCAAATTAAAGGGCTCTTTATAGTTGGGATGAAGTAATCTTTCTCTATTCACTGCTCCAGATAGGGAGAAAGTCAAAGTTGATTCTTCTCCGTTCCAAAAGGCACCACTTTCAAATGCACCACTATCTGTATTCAGAATTTACTATTAACTGACCTCCTGTGATATATAGCACAATCACTGGCGGTGCCTAAATAATCCAAGATGCATTGCTGTTGAAATGATTACTAATAGCACCATGAAGAATTATAATGATTCACATTTATTTATTTATTAGCAGACTGCAGTTTCTGGGAGTTCACGACCAGGACTTGTAAACAGGGGCATTTGTGAGGATTGGTGGCGGAGACCAAAGATAGAGATCTTGTGTCCTTTGGATTAAGGCTGGTCGCTTGTCTGAGCTGTTTGGAGCCTTGATTGTGAATTTGTGGGTGTGTCTGTCTTCTTTGCTTGAGCACACGGTCTCATAGAATCAAAGAATGGTAGAGTTGGGACACCAAGGGTCATATAGATAGACATCTTTTCAAGATGAGAACAAGAACATCAAGTGATACTGAGGACAATCCTAGCAATGACCCAGAGCTGCCATTTGAGCAAAGTGCTGGAGAAGAATCATTTTGGGAATGATTTGGGAATGATTCATGTTCTTACGTAGCTGCATTGTTTTATAATTTCTGGATTTCCCGTGGTCATGTGTTAAAACAGTTCTATGCTATAAATCAAGCACTGCCAAGAGATTCATTTGCCTTCCAATGTATTTCTTATCAATTAAAAATTTGGTGCAAGCGAATGTATATTCTGAAAGTGTGTCCCAGAGAAAAAAGTTTGAGAACCACTGGGTTACAGACAGGACACATTCTTGCAAAAGCCTTGGTGGTCTGCTTTTGCAAGTCTTGTTCTTCTCTATGATGGGAAACATCCAGCAGACCTAATTAGGCCCACCATTGGTTTCAGTTTGGCCTGTGAGGCCATTCCCCACAAACCACTTTCACTTCCATGTAAAACCTTTAAAATAAAATAAAAATACTGCATCTCTCTCAGAGCCCCACCTCTCGTCTGCCCTTCCTTTCCATTCAAAATCCTACATTACAGCCTAGAAGCAGTGGCGTAGAGTGGGGGGTGCAGGGGGGGCCGGCCGCACCGGGTGCAACATCTGGGGGTTAGGGTTAGGGGGCGCAAATCCACGGGTTAGGGGGCGCAAATTACTTGCCTTGCCCCGGGTGCTGACAACCCACGCTACGCCACTGCCTAGAAGGAACTCTTTACATGATCAAAGGTCTGCATTGACAAATATTAACAAATTAATCTTCACGACACCTGAGGAAAATTGCTCTCCTTACATAATGCAGTACTAATATGCTCTCTGTTGGCTAATCTCCTACTGAGTTCAAAGACAGGTTTTGCATACCAAGCTAATGCCTTATTTACTAAATATGAAAGTTAGTAACAAGCGATAGCAAGAGTCTTCTGTGTTTAATATTGCACTATGCAGACAGTTAAAATCGCTCGCAGACCTAGCCAGTTACTTATGAAGGACTCGAAATCCCATTCTGGTTCCATATTGTGTTCTGTGTCTTTGATGTCCCAAAATTGCATGATTGAGCCACTGTATCTATTTTGTTTCTTTGATACTTTGAGACCAACACAGCAGCAGCTCTCCATACCATTATACCATTATACTTAAAAGGATGTGTATTCAACTCCCTAGAATATAGAGCAGCTGGTTGAGAGAAAATAAAGAACACAGAAGTGCAGGGGAGATATTCTCTTGCTGCCTAGCCATTCAAGTCAAACCCAGCAGTTCCAAAAAAATCAGAGTCTTGCTGCAAAAATTCTTACAGCAATGGTTTAAATCTGCCAGTTTTTCATCAAATCTGTCACACATTCATCCAGCAAAGGAACAGAGCCAGCAAGGGAGAAAGTGGCAATTTTAAGTTAAGCGCCTGTCACTTGGAATTGTAGTATTTAATATCACATACATTTGCATTGTTCCTGACTGCAGGCTATCTTAGGCTTGTTGTATTTATTTGGGAAACTATCTAACAAACAACAGCAGATCTTTTCTTTTAAAAAAAAATCTAACTAGCTTTATGATGATCCTAGCCTACTTCAAAAATACAACTCCAAAGCTCTCACGGAGTTAATAGACTATATACTTCTTTAATAAAACAAACATGAATAAATAAGTCTGAATAAATCTTATGACAATTATGAAAATACAATACAGTTGAAAGTGAAGGTATTGTTATATTTACTTTGCAAATGGAAAAGTAATAACAGAAAAAAAATCTTTTTATAAGCAAACAGCAATCAAATATTGAACATGCACCAATTTCCTTACTAGACACAGTTGAATGGCTGTTTATTAGGAAAATAAACATTTATTCTATCATTTCAAAGAAAAAAAGCAAACAAGTAGATTAATCTCTTTTGTGGAGTGGCACACTGAAAGAGAGCCAAATCCTCAGAGAATTGAGAAAATTAATCTCCAAATTCTTTTTTTTTTTTA